CTTTCCCTTGCCCCCAAAAAGTTTGGTTTTTGCTAATATTCCAGAATCATATCCTTTCTCTCCTCCCCTATTTATGGATTCCTGCATCTTTGAAGGTCTTGCAGTGGGATTCATATTGTTACTCTGAACAAAATAAATCCCCAAATTAGTTTAAAGTGCAAATAGTGGTTCATAACTTTCGCTGCTGGATGCTGTCCTTGATTTATGTCCTAGACCATTTCTCTAAACAGCACTCAAAGGCGAAAGAGCTGTAAGAGTAGTCTAGCCTAGTGCTCTAAGCATTGCTTGAGGCATCAGAAATGCCTGGGTTGGAATCCTTGCTGAGGCGCACATTGTTTCTGGGGGGCTTGAACAAGTCAGTTAACTTTTGCCTCACTTTTTTCTATCTGTTAAATGGGAATAATATATACCTCACAGGGACATTTGGAGGAGTAACTAAATGTGTAAAGTGCTAAATATTACTGTGTCCGAACTTCAAAATATGTTGTGGGTTGCTACCTTAGCTGATGTAAAAAAGTGCAAGTGAGCTCTGATGCCCATCCATCACTTGGTTTCCCTATCCCTCCTTGCTTGCCCCTTGCAAAGATTCAAGAAACAGATTGCAGGTGACTCAGGTTCTATATAAAAATAAGACTCAAAACAGTGTCAGCATACAAAGTATTATACTTAAACTATGCAGGGAAAACAGAGCAGCTCACATCTATATTAAAATATTGTAGCTCTGCTTAATGGAATATAAATAAAAGCCTCAAAACCCATTAGCCAGCATGCAAAGATATATGCATTGAACACGATCATTCATCAGACATAAATGCTGTGCATCATTCTATCAGAGTTAGGATGATCAGCATAGGCCTTTTGTCAACATAGGACTGCCACACATCTTTGCATGCTTAATTGACACTAATCCTCTTTCTAAGCAGTGAATATAAGCCTAGAAAATAATTCAGAGAGACCAAAAGAATGACTGAGCAGTCAGAACAAATGGGCTGAATGAATCATGTATTTCTGGCAAGTTGCAAGACTCTTTCCTCCCTCCTTTTAGTGCATTTAGAATACATTTTAAAAAAAATCTGTATCTTAAAATCAGTACATTATAATAAGAGCATCTTAGATCACAGTGGAAGTATGGTTATGAAGCATAACTTTTGTATTTGTGTAATGTGGTTTTTTTCCATGAAATAAACTTTGTACCCCTATGTCTTTAAAAGAACATCGCTGTTCCCTGCACTGGGCTTAGTCCTGCGCACTCTGTGGATGGAAGCATCCCATTGACTTCCAAGGGAGACAATTTCCAGGACCTTTGATACAATACAGCAGTATATCCTCTCTCATTATGTAGTTACCCTTCTTTTAAACTTGGGGGGGAGGGAGTAAGTATAGAACAGAAAATCCAATAATAAGATCCATGAATATTAAGCCTTTACTATGATCAACATGTTTTTCATGCAATCCAGTTGCAAAACTTAAGTCTGAAAATATATATTTTTTTACAATAATTCTCTAATGAAGGACTAGCAGTGGGATGGATTAGGCAAGGGAGAAATTCAGCTGGAAACACTGCCCTTATTAAATGATGGGCATTTGGTGAGGCAAAAATATACAGGAATGCAGTCCTTACAGGAATGGTAAGACCTGCAGAGGAAAAGGCTCTTGCACAACCAGTGATTTTAAAAAATGGAGGAAGAGCAGCCTTAATTTGGTAGAAATTCCTGAGCTGAGTAGAGCAAGAAGGTCCACAAGACAGGCTGAAATGAGTCCACACAGCTTTAAACCAAGTATGACAATTTAAAACCAGATCCTGGGGCAGATTGGAGCTAGTGAAGTTGAGTATAGAGCAGGTGTGGATAACCTGCATCTTGTGGGTCACCATACAGGTAGTTTACCTTGAGTCTGCAGGTATGGTCACTCAGCTCCCATTGGCTGCAATTCACTGTTCCCAGCCAATGGGAGCTATGAGATTCTGCACAGGCCGCAGGGACGTGCTAGTTGTCACTTCCCGCAACTCCCATTGGCTGGGAACAATGAACCCTAGCCGCTGTGAGTTGTGGGCAGCTGCACCTTTATGCAAGGAAAACAACTTGTCTGGAAGCCTGCCAGCAGCTTGCCATGATGAACCTCCTCCACATAAATCATTAGCTTACTCCCTATACCAGTGGTGGACAACCTGCAGGCCTTGTTCCCTATACAAGTGATGGGCCGCAGTGCCTACCACTGGTATAGGGAGTAAGCTAATGATCCATGTGGAGGAGGTTCATCAGGGCAAGCTGCTGGCAGGTTGTTTTCCTTGCGTCCAAAGGTGCGGCTGCTCCCAACTTTTCCTTTTACCCCTCATAAGACCCTCATGCCATGGCTGTGTTTCCAGATGCCAAAGTGCTGGATGCCAGCCTTCCACAATGCATCAATAGTGCTCCAAAACATGTGTTAGGAATCACTATCATGCAGTTGTCAGCTGCTCCCTCCCTCCTGGAGTTCTGGAAGTCAAATTGGGCTACATTTTATAGAGAGTTTCTCAATTGGGGAAGTGAGTCCGTCTCCAGACCAGATTTTCCAATAGCAGTATATTATACTACTTCCAGACTGAGCCAAGCACCTGCTAGACTTTAAGGTCAGAAGGTACCACCATGATCCTCTGTCCAGGGGTGGGCAAAAGGGCCTCTGCGGGCCAGATCCGGCCCACAAGCAAGTTGATCTGGCCCACAGAGGCCCTGCCACTACCCCTGCCCCTAGGTCAATCAGGGCCTGAGGTGGGAGTGTGCACAAAGTTTCCTCCTGTCCTTCAAGGGGGGTGGTGCTTCTAAGCACTGCATGCTTCTTGCAGGACAGGGGCAGGGTGAGAGGAGACTTCGCATGCTTTCCCCTGCCCCTAAGTTCTGATTGGCCTGGTGCAGGGAACATGCGGAGTCTCCTCCAGCCCTACAAGGGGCTCAGCACTTAATGTTAACCACTAGCTGCAGCTCAGCTGGCAGTTGACTAGACACGGTGCTTCCTTCCAGGGCAGGAGCAGGGAGTGAGAGATATCACCAGTGCCCCATCCCCAGCGCCCTGATTGACCTGGGGACAGCAGGGGAGAGCACAGTCTTCTCCTGCCACCAGGGACACTGGTACCTAGAGGGAACCGTCTGCTGCTCAGAACAGCTGGCAGTTCTCTGAGGGGGAGAGACTTTGTGCACTTTCCCAGCCACAGGCCAATCAGGGTCTGTGGGTGGGGAAGCACGGAAGTATCCTGATCCCGCCCCTTCCACCTGAGGCCCCACTCCTTCCGGGCCCACTTCAAAAATTTCTGAAGAGGCTCCCAGGTCAAATTATTACTCACCCCTGCTCTAGCCTGACCTTTCTACTCATCCCATCCCATAGACACTCAGACCTGTAACAGACCCCTAACCTCTGGCTGAGTTACTGAAGTCCTCAACTCATGATTTAAAGATGTCAAGTTACACAAGCTGCCGTTTACACTACAGTATAAAGGAGAACCTCAGAATCATGAGCATCTCCCAAATGGAGATTTTCTAACTGAAATGTGTGTAACTTTGAACAAAATGGTATGGTTGTTCTTTTAAAAGTTTGCACCTGAACATTTATTTAATATAGCTTTGAAACTTTACTATGCAGAAGAAAAATGCTGCTTTTAAGTGTCTTTGTTTCATTGAAACAATCACAGAAACCCGTACCTTAATTGGTCAGGTTTTTTTTAGTCTTTCCCTTTTTTTATTTGTTTTTAACAAAGTGCTGTCCTGTAAAAAAATTTACTTTTGTTGGGGGGAGGAGCAGAGTCTGCTGCCTGATTGCAACTTCCAGTTCCAAATGAGGCATGTGGTTGAGTCCAGTAGTAACTCTGGTGTGTAGAACTCTGAGGTTCTACCATAGTTTAAACCTGCATATGCCCATCTGTAGAGAAGGGCTCCTATGCTTCTGGTGAGGCCTTGGGAGAAGAAAATACAAGGCCTTTAAATAGGCACCAGATATCTTAAGTCTCTGTGAATCACCATCTTTTAAATGCTGCATTGGCTTTCTAGTACGTTTATTTGGAGCAATGGTGCAATCCAGTGGCCAGTTTGGATAGTAGCACAGTGTATATTGCATAGACTGTAAAGCTTTTGAAGAGAGAAGCATTCTAAATGAACTGTAGTATCATAGCACTGGGCAAAAGTGCAGCAATGACCAAAGATAAGCTATGTACAAGAGAAACGCAGAAGATCTATATATATTGACGGACCTGGCACAGGCAATCATAGTAATCAGTAATTTGAATCAATAATAATTAGCATTTTAAATGTAGTAACTTCAGAGAACTCCTGTTACATAGCATTGAAGCAAAAAAATTGATTCATTCGCTCTGTGGCTGGGCTATAAACATTGTGGGTTGAAGAGCAACTACTTAGTTGAAAGTAGTAAATAGAACTTGGCATCACATTTTCTTCTTTCTCCTTTCAAATTATGCCAAAGGAAAGCAACATAATCAAGAGCTCAGGTAAGTTTTGCAAGGAGGCTGTTGGTCTGCAGTTACTCACCACTCACTTCACAGGATGAACTGGGAGATGGTACTGTTGGGATGATGCCAGAAAAAATTGTAAGAATGGGGTTCCTGCAGGAAACTTGGTCCTAGCACTGACCTGCCCCAGCCAGCTGTGGGGGTAAGCTTCCTCTCCAGCAGAGGCTGCACAGCCAACTTTCAGTCATGGTGCCAATGGTTCTGGCCAAAGTCTGTATTTTGTAAACCTTTGTGATGGGTCTCATGGTAAAGGGAAAGCATGTACTGCTCTGAGCAGCATTAGTTAATCTAGTAGTTTGAGATGTTAGACCGTGAAAAAGAGGGAGAACACACTACTTTAACTTGATCGCTGACTTTTCTCTCCTCACCTGGCTGCCCCCTTTCTCCACACAGCTCATGGGAAGCAGAAGATTTTTTCCAAGGAATTGGCAGCTACATGGATCATCAACCAACAGAAACACCTCTTAGAACATCATGCACTGCCACCTTATCCTGTTTCCTATCTCCTCTCCTGATCCACTGAGAACTCTGCAGCAGTATTGCAAACAAGGTACCTAGAAACTCAGTCCAAAGTTTGACAGGATACGTCAGTACAATTTGTTTGGTACTACACATATGGCAAGATTTTTAGGCAAGGAAGTAGCTCCAGTTGATCTCAGATTCTGGTTTGGTTGGGGGGGGGGGAGGCGGGTGGAGAGAGAAGCTATAACAGAAAGGGGTAATTGCACAGATACCATGAGGTTACTGCTAGCGAATCCATTTAATATGATCCCTGTTCTAGTTCTGTCTCAGCTCTCAAGTATATAGCCTGGAAATTAATAATCCCAGCTATATATATATCCGCTGTTACCACTCAAGAAAAAAGATGTTGGCGTCATTGTGGATAGTTCTTTGAAAACATCACTTAATGTGCAGCAGCAATCCAAAAAATGAATGGAATGCTGGGAATTGTTAAAGGGATGGATAACAAGACAAATATTTTGCCTTTTATATAAACCCATGGTACGCCCATATTTATGATACTGCATGCAGATGTAGTTGTCCCATCTCAAAACAGATATATTGAAATTGGAAAATGTTCAGAAAATAGGGCAACAACAATTAGGGGTATGGAACAGCTTCCCTATGAAGAAAGATTAATAAGACTGGGACTCTTCGGCTTGGAAAGAGATGACTGGAGAGTTGAGGTCTATAAAATCATGACTGGTGTAGAGAAAGTAGATAAGGAAGTGCTATTTACTCCTCTTCATGACACAAGAACTAGGGGGTCACCAAATGAAATGAACAGGCAGTAAGTTTAAAAACAAAAGGAAGTATTTCTTCACACTAGGCACAATCAGCCTGTGGAACTCCTTGCCAGAGGATGTTGTGAAGACCAGGACTATAACAGTGTCAAAAGTCTAGATAAATACATGGAGAATAGGTCCATCAGTGACTTAGCCACTAGCCTCTGTTTGTCAGAAGCTGGGAATGGGCAACGAGGAGGATCACTTATACCTGTTCTTTTCATTCTTTCTGGCTTCTAGCACTGGCCATTGTCAGACGGTGGGATTCTGGGCTCAATGGACCTTTGTTCTGCCCAGTATGGCTGTTCTTATGTAAAGAGAATTCAGTACATGAAATCAACCAAGAACAAGGAAGGGTGCAAAAATACCACCCTAATTTTCAGGTTTTTTTTAAAAGAAATAAGAAAAGAAACCCTGTGTCTGCCAAATTAGAAAGGACACACTCTGGTTCTGAACACCCTGAGAGTTTGGATCTGGATCCAAACTTCACAGCTTGGACTCCTCTCTATTCAGAAACCAGTTGGAGGAAAAAATTATTAAAACTTTAAGAGCAAACATTGGAAAGTTGGAAAAAAGTTACACATTACAGCTACATGAAAGAACATGACACTGTCTATTTAGCAGTGAATCAGATGGGCAGTGCTTCCAGGTAGAACTAGAGGATGAGCTGGATGGTGGCAGTTCTGACCCCGGAAGATCCATAGAGTATGAGTCTGCCTCTTAAGACCATTCAGTCCAACCCCAGGACCTTGGCAGATCTTGGCCAGTGTTCCTCCAACTGTGAAGATTGTAGAGCAGTGGTGAATGTAACTTAAAATTTCTTACAGGTACACGCATATTGCAACCTGGGTCCCTGCCAGCTCTTGATGGATTTGCGCACCTGGGTGCACCCGCTTACATTCATTCACGACCACCGACACCACTAACAAGGACAACTGTGGTGTGTGTATAGAAGTACTCAGACTCTTTAAAAGGGGATGAAGTATCTTCTCCCTATGCCAGAAGTGAAAGTAAGACAAGCTGGTAGTATCTCCTGAGCTTTTGATGCCTGGTGATTAGTGTCACAATTGCATGGTGATGGAAGGTATCGAGGCATAAACTATTCTGGTGCTTAGTGTGGAGCATCCCCCAGATGACGGTCTCCAGTGTAGCAGATCTTGGTGCCAGAGATCAATATCTGTGCTGCTCCCGTGGCACCAGGGAGTGATACCAGTATTGGGTAGAGTTCCCTGGGTTTGTTCTGGGAAGTGATGGTGCAATGGGTCCGTGTGTCAAAGATGCTCTTGGCCCTGCTTCTCTAATGGAGGCTGGAACATTCCACAGTTGGAAACCAGGTACTGCATATGAGAGGCCTTGAGTCTGATCTAATCTGGCAGATGCTAGGTTCCAAATAAAAACTGCCTCTCTAAGGTAGCCTAACGATCTTGCTTTTCTGTGTTACTTTTGTCAAGCTGCAGATGTCGGTCTGCTTTTGGAATACAGCTTTAAGATCATTCATTTTATACCATTAATTCTTCCTTGTCTCTCGGACAGTTTCATCGGTCATAAAATAGAAAGCTTTTAAGGGCAACAACTTTATCTTTCTACAGAACTAAATAGGCTCCATGGGACATTGTCGACGTGAAAGAAATGATTATTTATCCATTTAATAATTGTGGCTAGAGCAGAGGTCTCAAACTCCTAGCACACAGAGTACGGTGGAGTTTGTGCTCGGTGAACGTGCTCCACAGCTCCCCCTGCCATGGGGAGGCCCCGACCATTGTTGCTGCTCCGTGCCAATTCCCACCTCTCCTCCCCCCAGAAATCCTTCCCTTCCCAGGCCAGCCAGGAATCCTGGGCTAGCTTGCGCTTTGCACAACTGCTCCAGCTGGAGATGATTCATAGGCTGGGAGTTTGAGACCCCATGGCAAGTGGATACAAGTGAAATCAGGTCCCAGTTTTGCTTGAGCCTGTATAAATGAGGAGTAAGAGTCCATGGCACAAGAAGCTCACAAATTAAATAGAGTAGAAGTGGGGACCTGACACATGGAAAGATTAAGGTTTTTTTTTTTTCCCCACGTCACATGCAATAGGTCTGGTTGGAAAACACTAATTCTGTTTTGAAAAACGGAGGGTTTCATATTTGCCTTCCATTTGGAACAAAACAGACATTTTGAAATTTTTCCTGAGGTGTGGGAGAGCCACTGTGTAATTTACCCAGAACAGTCTGCACCTGGGTTTGGGAACTCCAAGATGAAGTCCCTGCTCTGTATGATTCAGAACTGGGAGTTGAATTTGGACCTCCCACATCTCCCGTCAGTGCCTTGACTGCTGGGCTATAGGCTATTTTCTTGCTTTCATTTTGACCATTATTTCCATCCTGGACCCAAGAAACCTTCCTGGAAGTTTCACTGAAACTGAGAGTTCTCCATCAAGAGGTGTCCCTGGGGGTGCTCCACATCAGGTGTAGTGTGTCCCAGCACCTCTGGACAGAGATCTGCTAGCAGTGTTTCAGCAGGGGCTGTGCATGCGTGGCACATGAATTCCCTGCCTAGCTATGCGCGCGTGTGGCCCCGGCTCCCTTCAGTTCCTTTCTCCCATTCCCGGCTGCGGACGGAATGCGGTAGTGCTCTTGCCTCAGCGCAAACTTAATTTAGTTAGTTAGTTTAACTTAGTTTAGTGCTAGTCTTTCCTGTTAACTACTGTTAAGTTGTTACTTTAAAAAAAAAAAAAGCGGCGTGGGGTTTGAACCGCCGCTTCAGCATTCAAGCTGGTAGTTCTCCCAGCTTCAAACGCTGCACACGCTGTAGCGGCGTGATGTCTGCCTCCAATGGGCGGGGGGGGGGGGGACGGCTCTCACGTTTGCAGAGACTGCTCCCACTGTACCAAAAAGAAGCCAGGCTCTGAGTTAGAGCTTAAAGCTAAATTGCTCCACATGGACAGCAACAAAAGTCATGCCTCTGACCTAGGTTCTGGGCAGGGCTCCTCATCTAATAGTAAGGAAATCTTTAAGCCCCCTAAAAGGAGGACAAGTTCTTTACCTCAGCAACCTACTAGAACACAGTGTGTGTGTGGGGGGGGGGGAGGAATCCAGCTACTCCAACAAGAGCTGCCTCAGCCCATGCGACTGTCCAGGCTCCTCGGGCGAACAGCGTTGTAAGCCTGAAAGCGTTTCAAACGCTGCACCAATAGAGGCAAAGAGCCATTCTGTGCCAGCCTTGGTAAACCCAGCAATGCTGACCCCCATGACAGCTACATCGGTACCTCAGCCTCTCACAATGGCACCCAATGAAGGGTCAGAGGACTCTCTAAACGCTGCCCCCTTTTCTCAACCGTTAGTGGTTACAGCTTTCCCTCTCACCTCTGAGGTAAGCACGGGTTCCTCCCAGTTAGCGCAGCCCTCCAGTTCGCAAACTCCCCTCATCACGTACAGGGAGAGTAAAGATTTGTACATCGACTCAACCCTTCAGTCTCCTATTCTGAGTGAGGATGGATATATTCACTCATTGCTCTCTAACTCATATGTGCAGTCTCTCTCTTCCCCCCCTCCCTCCAGAAGAGGACAAAGAATGTGAAGTGGGAGGGGCCCCCACAACCTCAAGGGACAGTGGGGAGACACGGGTATATGATACCACACCTCCTCAGAGTGCAGATGGCCTCGTGGGCTCTATATCTCTGGATAGCCCCTCCGCTGACATACCCCTCCACAGTGACAACTGTGGAGCCATCATCCACATCAGCACAAAGAGATGGTGTAAAACGAAACACATAGGCTGTGTCTACATTTATTAGCATCCCTTTTCCAGAAATAAGACAAATCGGAATTGCAAATGCCGCAGGGGATTTAAATATCCCCCGTGGCATTTGCATGAACATGGCTGCTGCTTTTTTCCGGCTCGGGGCTTTGCCGGAGAAAAGCGCCAGTCTAGATGGGATCTTTCAGAAAATAAAGCCTTTTCCGGAAGATCCCTTATTCCTGATTTTAAGAGGAATAAGGGATCTTCCGGAAAAGGCTTTATTTTCCGAAAGATCCCGTCTAGACTGGCGCTTTTCTCCGGCAAAGCCCCGAGCCGGAAAAAAGCAGCAGCCATGTTCATGCAAATGACGTGGGGGATATTTAAATCCCCCGCGGCATTTGCAATTCCGACTTGTCGCATTAGCATCCCTTTTCTGGAAAAGGGTGCCAGTGAAGACACAGTCATAGAGAAGCCACTCCCTCGCTTCACTAAATCTCCTTACAGAGGCATGGAGAGGGATAATAGCCAATACTTCCCTAGGTCAGCCACAGCATCTGTGGCTCACACCTCATTAGCAGACATGGGAAAAGTGATGCTGCCTCCCACTGGCAATACCTCAGACATAGCCTCTTTCCAAGATCTATTTAAATGTGTAGCACAAGATCTAAACATATCAGTGGAGGAGGCACAAGACACTCCTCACGATCTCAGTAACATCTTACAATCCAGCTCTTTTTCAAAAATTGCTCTCCCTATCAATCTAGCCATTCTCCACCCTGCATAAACTTTATGACAAACACCTGCCTCAATTCCCCCTACTAGCAGAAAGGCGGATCGAAAATACTTTGTGCCACCGAAAGATTCTGAGTTTCTCTTTACACGTCCCATGCCTAACTCTCTAGTGGTGGACGCTGTACAACAGAGAAACAAACAACAAAATCACTCAACCCCATCAGCTAAAGAGAACAAAAGGCTTAGACGTCTTTGGCAAGAGAGTGTACGTGTCTGCTACGCTCCAACTGAGGGTGGCAAACTATTCAGCCCTTCTCAGTAAATACAATTACAACAATTATATAAAAATGAATGCATTTATTGATTTGCCGGACAGTAAAAAAGGCCACTTTAAGGCCATTGTCTCTGAGGGTCAAGTAATTTCGCGCACAGCGCTCCAGGCGGCACTTGATGAGGCAGACACAGCCACTAGAGTTTTGGCTACAGCTGTTACCATGTGCGGGCTGTTACCATGTGCAGGGCCGCTTGGTACAATTCCTCGGCCTTCCCAAGGCAACTTCAGGCAGCTTTAGAGAATCTGCCCTTTGAGGGTAACTGTCTGTTCTCTTCAAAAACCAATGAGCTTCTTTCAGTCTATGAAAGACTCCATGGCCATCCTGCGATCCTTGGGTATCCAGGACCCTACAATGAGATCCAGACAGTATGGCTACGTCTACACTGGTCCCTTTTTCGGAAGGGGCATGCTAATTTTGAAAGTGGGAATAGGGAAATCCGTGGGGGATTTAAATATCCCCCGCGGATTTAAATAAACATGTCTGCTGCTTTTTTCCCGGCTTGGGGAAAAGCCAGAAAAAAAGCGTCTAGACTGGCCCGATCCTCCGGAATAAAGCCCTATTCCGGAGGATCTCTTTTTCCTACTTCAAAGTAGGATCGGGCCAGTCTAGACGCTTTTTTTCCGGCTTTTCCCCAAGCCGGAAAAAAAGCGGTGGCCATGTTTATTTAAATCCGCGGGGGATATTTAAATCCCCCGCGGATTTCCCTATTCCCATTTTCAAAATTAGCATGCCCCTTCCGAAAAAGGGGCCAGTGTAGACGTAGCCTATAGGTATCAGCCTTACCACAGGCCAAGATACCAGCAGCCTCCCTTCCAATACCACAGACAGGAACAACCTCCTACCAACAAAACCGTGGTTGGAACAGGCAGCAGAGGCTGCGGTCTCAATCCAAAACCCCCAACTACCAAGGGCAATCCAACAAGTAAATTTGAGATTAGTCAAGAGATCGAGACCCAGATCACCATCTCTAGCAAATCAGAACCCTTACAATCTTTTCCAGTTTCATTTACTCCCTTTCTTCCACCAATGGGAGCTTATTACCTCTGATAAATGGATAGTTCAATCTCCCAGGGATACACCATCCCCTTTCTTTCCCTCCTCCAATCCCCCAACCCTGTCCCTTTTTAGGGACCCATCTCACAAGATCTTCCTACAACGAGAGAGATCACCTGCTACATATAGGCACCATAGAATCTGTCCCTTCTCAGTTCCACAGAACAGGGTTCTATTCACCCTATTTTCTAATCCAGAAGAAGTCTGGTGGCTGGAGACCCATACTGGACCTTAGATACCTAAATAGCTTCATTAAGAAACAAAGGTTTAAGATGTTTACCCTAAACACCTCTGGAGCCAGGTGATTGGTTCTCCTTTCTCGACTTGTAAGATGCCTATTTTCATGATTCTATTAGACCTTTTCACAGACTTTTTCTTCATTTTGCTTTAGGTACACACCATTTTCAGTACACGGTCCTACCCTTTGGACTCTCTACAGCTCCAAGAGCCTTTTCCAAAATTCTAGTGGCAGTCACTGCCCACCTAAGGAGACAAGGGATCACTATATATTCCTACGTGGATGACTGCCTAGTAAAAGCAAGGTGCAGACAGAGTGCTTCCGACATACATTGTACTAGACTGCTTCCACTCTTTAGGGCTCCTAGTGAACCACCCTACATCGATGCTTTCTCCCTCGCAGACCATCCAATTTATTGGGGCAGACCTCAATTCTGTCACAGCCAGAGCCTCGCTCCTCCCCACCCCGACAGGACTACTCACATCGGGCACCTGGCATTATCCCTCCAGGGCATGCCCACAGTCACTGCTCTTGACTGCCTCCGACTGTTAGGCCATATGGCTTCCTGCAACCTTATGGTTCCTAATGAGAGACTGTTTATGAGATGCCTCCAAGGCTGGCTCCTAATGCACTACAGTCCAAATATTCACTCACTGACAAAGAGGCTAACTATGCCTCCATCAGTTAAAGCATCTCTCAAATGGTGGACAAAGGTATCCAATCTAAC